TAGGTGTTACCTGATTGTTGGAGATAAGGCATGGCTAATAAGTGTAGGGATTCACTAACCTCCTAACCATAAGATGAGAATCCTGTGTATAGAATAATTAACATAAGAATAAAAGAATTTTCCAGTAGAAGGATCATATTGTCATATTCTTTACTTTTGTAATAGAGCAGCACCATTGCAAAAGAACAGTTAAGAGTGTATTTTTTCTGTTCTAGAACAGTGAAAGAAGCTTTTGAAAGCTCCTAGTTAGTCCCCAGCAAGCAGTCACTGATAATCAGATTTCCAAATTATGGACCTACATTAGGAATATTAATATCTACTAAATACAATAATTGAATCTAATCACTGTTTTCTGAAGATTATTTGCTAGTAAACAGGCAGATCACCATCTCCTGTCGGTAGAAAAAAACTTATCATTTAGGGTCCAGGAAGATGACCCCTCCCCCACTAGTAGCATTTTAAGGTTGAGAACTGGGTATTTTTCTATTGCCTATAGTGTTCTGTTCTCGTGGAAAGAATTAAGTTAAGGCCATTGCTGACATGTGATACCTTCAGATAAGGGGCAAGACAGCTGAGTGAGGATATCCCATATTGTTCCCCATGTATCCTAACAACACACACTCAAGAGACCTGGTCATGGGCATGCAGGGGCTTGTGAAGTGTCTTTGCAGACATTGTTTTACTGTCTTCTAGAACCAAGCCTTATGCTCTTCCTGACTTAGTTTGACATTCTTTCTGTAGTATTGTGATGTCCAGTTTTTATTTCAGTGGAACCTTTCCAAAGACAGACACTGAAAAAAGGTATTAGAATAGGAAGGACAACATAGTGCAAAGCAGACTTGTATCATAACACATCAGTTGTAGAATAAAAACACACCATCCATATTCTGTCTGTATGTATTAATGCTTGATGTTTGTATGATACATTTTAGTTCATTAAAGCGCTCAGTCTCAGATAATCTACTGAGTTAGGATAGTGGTTGTCTTCAGAGGGCTCTTTACTCTTTGCAAGGATTCTTGTGTGTGTTATCTCATGAGACCCATGGAGTAACTGGTAACTTGGGGGTCTGGAGTTACAATGTACTTCTTTGGGTACCTAGCTTGATACTCTGCCCAGCACTGCCCCTACCTTCTATTCCTTCTCAACTCTTAACCACACTCAGGTCTCCTTTCCCTTACTTACTTCCCACTTCATCTTTTTTGACTGCTGAGTAAACGCAAAACAAGCAATAGAAATGTCAACTTGTGATCTCTGGAGGACATTTAAAACTCCTGGACAGCTTTTTTTTGTGTGTGTCATGGGTTGTTTTATTCTTTAGAAAAACCTTCTGAGATCAGGATCGCTTCCATCAGTGTATACATTGTAAGATTCATAGTATGGAATCTCTGGTGCCTGGCATTACATGAAAACAATGAGTCTTCCCAGTCTACTTCCTTGGACATTGGTTCTCAAACCTTTAAGATAATAGAGACCCTTTCATTAAACCAAAAGACCTTATGTCTTCGTCAGTTCTACCTTCCTGTCTTACGGGAGTGGGAATGTGTGAATGATAAGTGTTACAGTCTCAATTAAATTACTGCTTGTCTGCTTTTATGCTTATTTATGTTGATTGAAATCCTCAAAGGAAAATTGTACTTTTTTTCAAATTCCCAGTTTTGTGTGACTTGAATTTGGATTATCCCTAGGACAACCTAAAGATTCCTGTGAGGATGAATGGAATATTCTTTTTTGCCCCCAATGCAAACAATAAATTTTTCCTTATTTATTCAGTTATTTAGCACACAGTTTGCTAGACAAATGAATAAATAAGGATTAATACAACATGGTATTTATCTTTCCAGAGACAAATTTAAGAAAACTCAGTAAATGTTCTCAGCCTTTATCAAATATGAACAAGTACCTGTTGCATGCCAGACAGCAAGCAGGGCACAACATGCTCCTGCCCTCAGAGCTTTACAGTCCAGTGAGCCAGCAGCCAGAGGAACAATTCTTAGGACAGTGCATGCTGTGATATGGGGAGGTACAAGTTCCTGTGGCTACATAATCTAGGAAGATCAGGGAATGCATGCTAGGGATGAGCAGAGTTAAGCAGGGGAAGGGGATGAGTAAGGTATTTCTGACAGCGAATAGCCTCAGAAAAACCCAGTAAGGGTATGGAAAAGGGAGACATGAAAGTAATTCAATCAGTAGTTTTCAGTGGGAATGGTAGTCATGGGAGAAAAGAGGTAGGCAGGGACCAGGTCTTGAAGGGCCTTGAGAATCCAGAAGTATTAAGTGTTAATCCCAAGGACAGTGTGAAGCTATTGGGAGATTTTGCAGGTGTGAAACTTCACCACTCAGATCTGGCAGTATTACAGGTAGAGGTAATGTGGAGGGGCCTCCTGCCCACTGTTAAATGCCTCCTTGTACCTCCAGTGCCACCTCTCCTTGTCCATCTCTCTCAGAAACTAACAGGTAAGTGTATAGATACCAGAAGCGAGGAGGAATAAAGCTAGACCCCACCATGGCCCAAATACATTTTAAGCCTAAATAAGATTTGTAGGGTTTGGGGTTCTAGTATCTGTGCTCCAACAAAGGTATGACATAGGGAGCCACTGAAACATGTAGGTTTTGGAATTGAGCAGCCTGTAGATGCTAAAGATCCTTGAAGAAGCACCCTTTCCATGAAAATCTGACACTGACCAGGAAAGGTACAAGAAAATAGCCTTGGCCCAATCAAATTCACTTGAGAACAGAGGTCCAAATAACACACTGAGAACATAATTCAGGAACACTATGAGAAATCAACCTAAAAACCAACCCAAAATCATCAGCATCATTGGCACATCATTTAGTCTTACTAAAAATGGGTGTCAAATTTTAAAAATTACGAGCCACCTGAGAAACAAACCACCATGAGGTAGAGACAGCACAGGAAAATTTTTTATTATAGAATGTCTCAGAATTATGAGATTATCTAGAATAGACTGTGAGAGTATGTTGCAAATGATTGAGGGTTTTAGAAAAGTGAAATAAGAGCATGGATGAAAAGAGATTTGAGAAAGAATAAAATAACTACCTTCTGGTGGGTTGTATTGCTTCAACCAGGGGAATGGCCATGGAGATAAAGACATTTTATTAGAAGGTACTCAGTGAATAAAAAGAGAAGTGGCAGCATAATGAAGGAAAAGATTAGCTCTTCCTGCTACAGTAGGTAGAAGATGTCAGAGTGGAAATTTATTCATTTTGGTTATTTGTGGTTTTGGTGGGTAAGGGTTTGAAGCTGGTTTTATGCTTGCAAAGCAGGCACTCTGCTGCATGAGCCACACCTCCGTTACATTTTGCTGTGGCTATTTTGGAGATAGGTCTTGTGAACTATTTGTCCAGGCTGGGCTTGAACCTCGAACTTCCCGATCTCAGCCTCCAAAGTAGCTATGATTACAGGTGTGAGCCACTGACACCCAGCCCTATTTATTCATTTAAAATGCATTTATGGTGCACTTTATTATAGGTATTAGGAAACCAGTGAAAAGCACATTCCCTGACTTCAAGGAGTTCCACAGGAAAAATAAACAACGGCTGTATAGTGTGACATGTACCTGTGACAAATGTACTCTGGAAGCAATTAGGTGATTTCTAACCATGTTCAAGGGGAGTTGGAGGGGGATCAAAGAAAATACTTCAGACAACATGAAACCAGAGCTATGTCTTCAAAGTTTAACCTAACCAAAGGTCTAGAGCCAGACAGAGTAACTCATTCAAAAGTTAAGAGTATGGAACACTTGTATAATTTGCATGCACCCTGGATGTGTGTATATGTATGAAAGGATTGGAGAGGAACGCAAAGGGAGCAAGAAGATTAATGTCAACCTAGTATGTAATACTTACAAGTCTGTTCACTTACAAAACCGGGAAGGGTCATTGAAGGCTCTTAGGGAAAGACATGATCAAATTTGCCAAGAATACTCACTCTGTGCTGCTGTGGATGGTAACATACTGGTAAGAACCTAAAATAAATCATGGGGATGAAAAAGAGGGAACCTGTTAAGAAACAGCAAAACACCTTGCAGCACTGAAGGGAAGAGGGGAAAGTAGAGGGTAAACCATGAAAAAGCAACCACCTTCAAAGGCAGGGAAACCTGGAAAGGCAGGCTGTTGTAGATAGATCAGCACTGCATTCACTACAGCTAGGAGATACAGAGAAAAGACAGGATATGAGACTTGGAAAATAGATTAGGGCTGATCAGGATTTGGGACTGATCTTAGTCAACATTCAAGTAGTTACTATTTAAGGATACTGAGTAGTGTCATTGGAATTGTAATTTACCATTACAGCGTCATCACTCTAGATGAGTGAAAGCACTTAGCACTTCAAACAGTGATAATTCAGTCCTCATAAAAACTCTGTTAGATGTATGGCATTAGTATGTCCATTCTGTAAATAGGTCCCATACCTGTAAACAAGCCTCCACATTCAACCCCAGGTTATCTGACTCAAGACTCTCAGTCTTAACCCTACATACATCCCTCTGTCTTTCTCAACCAGGGATCTCATTAGAACAGTGGTCATTTCTAAAGGTTGTCTAGACAGAAAGTTCAAGAGTAATGCATGGCAGAAGCTCCACAGGTGATCCTGTTATGCTTTGATCATAGTTGAGTACTGTAAGGATTCCAGTTAGTAAGTGAGGGCAGTTGTCCTGGCATGATGATGAGGATCAAACTGAAGCAGTCAGCAGGGAGGAAGAGGAAAAAACAGATTTAGAGACTTACAGGTAGAGTTGGGACTGAGGCATGGCTCAAGCATTAAGAGCACCTGCTCTTATTAAGGCCCTGAGTTCAAACCCCAATATCACCACCACAAAAAAAAAAAGAGGTAGAGTTGGTACTGTTGGTGAGCTACAAACACAGCGTTTCCTCTGGGGCATGGGGATTATCCTCCCTCCACTAGCTGTTACTACAACTTACTGGGACGGAGATTGGGAGAGGAGGCTTAATCATTTGAAGTGTTATGTGTAGAGGATTATGATTAATGTCAGAACTGTTAACCTGTGCTTAATTTCAGGCTTTTATTTTTGATCGTCTTTACTTCTTTATCCCAAGTCCCTTGGAAGAAACCCTTTGAGGTGTCCAGGCTGAGACAAGAGGTGATGCCAGTGTAAGCTCTAGATGGTGTGAGACTACCAAAGAGCCAGAAATGATGACAACCTTGGAACTAGAGGAACAGGATCTTTGGGAAGAAGAGGGGATTCTGATGGTGAAATTGGAGGATGATTTCACTTGCAGCCCTGAGTCTGTCTTGCCAAGGGATGACCCTGTGTTGGAGAACTCTCACCAGAACTTCCGTCGCTTTCGCTACCAGGAAGCTGCAAGCCCTCGTGAAGCACTCATCAGACTCCGAGAACTTTGTCACCAGTGGCTGAGGCCGGAGAGGCGGACAAAGGAGCAGATCCTAGAGCTGCTTGTGCTGGAACAATTCCTCACTGTCCTTCCGGGAGAACTGCAAAGCTGGGTGCGGGGCCAACGGCCAGAAAGTGGAGAGGAGGCAGTGACGCTGGTGGAGGGTTTGCAGAAACAACCCAGGAGACCAAGGCGGTGGGTGAGGAGGGGGAGTCTTGATCTGTGTGATGTGGAGGGGGACTGAGAGGCTGGTTTTGCAGGGAGGGCTTACAGGGTCACCATAAATTATCCTTTAATTAGCCTTGCCCTTTGGTTGCTCCTAGATCCATGAGCCCCATGGGGCAGTGGCATGTGTGTGTATGATGTGTGACTTTCTAGGGTTTGAAATACCTACCTAGGGACCATCTGAGGGGCTTCAGCCATCTGAGGGTCATGGTGTTGGGTTTCTTTCTTTGAATGTTGAACCCTGAGTTCCTGGGGAGGAGAATTTTGTTACTTCTTCAAAAGTTCTCCTAGTCCCTCAATCTCAAGCTCCCCCTTCCAGGATGGTGAGCTGAGGGAGAAGACAATGAAGCTGGTGTTGGGAAGGATGGGAACCTCAGAGCACTAGGTGACAAGAGCAGGGGTGGAGGAAGATAGAAAGTAGTGTGATCCTGAGTGCCCCTGCCCTGTCCTTGTAGAGGGTGTCCTTCAGCACTTCTTCACATAACCCAGTGCGACTGGATTTTCCCCTCCTCATCTGGGTCCCTCTGAGAGTTTTTCTCTAGACAGCTTCTCCTAAAATAAGCCCTGTTGACTGACAACCAGGAATTTCCTTCTGACTCCATGGTGACTGGAAGTTGGAATTATTCCCAGGTGACCGTCCGTGTTCATGGCCAGGAAGTCCTGTCAGAGGAGACAGTGCCCCTAGGGACGGAGCCCGAGTCACCCAGTGAGCTGCAGGACCCAGCACAGACTTCAACCCCTGAGCAATCCCAGGAGGAAACCACCCAGAGCCCACGCTGTGAAGAGGAGCTCCAGCCCCTGCAGGAGAGCGGTGGGAAGCCTTAGCAGGAAAGGGGTGGCTTCTGTACCAAAGTAGCTGCATAGATTGTAATGGAAAGAAATCACAGAATCCCAGATGTTGAGAGAGGAGACAGTACCAGTTAGAATTCCCCCCAAAATGAGGTCAGGCCTTAAATAACACTATATTTGGTTGCTCTTAGCATTCTGATAGTCTTATAGGTGGTGGCATTGGGATGGCTAGGTTTCCCTTAGGCCATTTTTTTGATTCCCTTAATACAGAAGTTAGGGCCATCTTCCTACCAAATATGAGGGGGTACACTTAGCTTTTTTAATTGTTTGTGGCTGATCTTTTGCCTTCTTTTCTTAGAAGTTCCTGTGCTCCAGGACCCAGACCTTCCTTTGGAGAGGAACTCTGGAGACCCAGGCATGGTTGCACTTCTCACTGCTTTGTCACAGGTGCGCCCTGTTCCTTCTGTACCACAGAGAATTTGTTTAAAGATCTTTTGGGTATTAGCAATATGCTAAACTGTCAGGTGGGATGCAAATTTACACTCTGCTGTGGCAGTTTCAGTTCTCTGTTCTGTAGGTGTGTAGGAGGGGGGAGTAAATAATGGAATAAATTATAATAATCTCCATCAGATCGGCAGGCTCCACAGCCTCTTAATTAACCATCCACAAGAGGGACTTAATAAAATGTAATTACTTTATAACACTCCAGTACAGCTTTGAAGTTGTTAAATGAGGTAAGTTTAGTTTTTGTTTTTAGAAATAAATTTGTTATTTATAAGAAAGACTGACTATACTGCCTTGACTTTCCAGAAGCATCCATCATAATCTGAGCCCTGAAACTAAACTGTGTGGCTGGAGAAAAAAGGAATAGAATTTATCTGTGGTTTGGGATTGAAGTCTAGCTGAGGACAGAAAATGTCTTGTTTATGCTGTAGTCTGTAAATGATAAGGATGATTGCACAGGGTCAGATAGAGAAGGCTTCCTAGAAAAGATGAATTTTTGTAGAAATTAAGGTAGCTTTAAGACATACAGTGAGTTGAATGATGACTTAAGATCTTTTTTGAGTTTTAACAACCCCTTAAAGAAGAACATAATCCAGTCCTGAGAGATTTCAGTGGAGTTGGAGCAACAGGAGCAGGACCAGTGCCTCTCCAAAAGCAGAAAGTCAGAAAGCAGCACCAACAGAAGACACAGCTTCCTCAGAAGAAGCCCCATTGCCTGTTAGCATTCCTATGTCTCCTAATAGATTCTGCCTACACATACAGCCTTCATGTCGAAATTAAATATGAGGCTATCTGAAGCATCACATTGTGACTGGATCCTTGTCTTGTTTCAGGGACTGGTAACGTTCAAGGATGTGGCCGTGTGCTTCTCCCAGGACCAGTGGAGTGATCTGGATCCAACACAGAAAGAGTTCTATGGAGAATATGTCTTGGAAGAAGACTGTGGAATTGTGGTTTCTCTGTGTAAGGAATTTCATGTGTTTCTAGAGCATTATAAATGAAGAGATCTTTTTCCTATTGGAAATTTGGGGGGATATCTTAAATCTTAGGTTATGTGTACTGAATTTCATTTATGTTTACCCCACCAATGAGATTAAAGGATTAATTAGCAAACATGGTATCCTTCCAAGCAAAAGGGAAAAGAGGAAAATGCTTGGTAAAATAGATGAAACCTCTAATAAGAAAATAAAGCTATAGCATTATAGCTCAGGTATAGAAACATTTGAGGTAAGCATGTGAGTTTTGAGATAAGAAGAATTAGAGATCAGCTGCTTTCCTTAATATGGGGACAGAGGATAAGATTTACAGTGGTGAAATTACTGAGGTACAGGTTCAAGAAAGGTAAGAGTCAGGTATCATTTAGAAGTGCTCATGCTAAAGAGACCAGAGATTTGGCCGACTAACTTGACTGTGCATTTGCTCTACAGCCCGGTCACTAGAGATGTGGGAAAGTGTTGCGCCAGTTGTGATACCCTGTTTTCCCTCTCTTGAACAGCGTTTCCAATCCCCAGACTAGATGATGCCTCCCAGGTTAGACAAGAAGTGCCTCAGGTCCCAGATAGCCATGAGGCTCAGGAGCCTGAAGAGCCAGAAATCCTGAGTTTTACCTACACAGGTGAGGACTGACAGAACGGGTTTTGCCATCTTCTGGGCAGTTCCTCTAGTCCATGTTTTTCTGCTCCTATAGCCCCTCTCGTTGGTACTTTTTTTTTTTTTTTTTTCCCGTAAGTCAAGATCTTGCTGTGTGTGCCACCATGCCAGGCTCATTGGTTCTTCTAACATGTCTGTCACTACTGCCATCTCCCTCTGAAAGCCAGACCCCCTCTGTCATTTTCTTCTTTTTCACCCCACCCAATATTGGTTTGAGGGTCCAGCAATGCAAAATGATGAAAGAAAAATAAAACTACTAACTTTCTATAATCAGAGCTATACTGTTTACTACACAGTTCAGTTAAATCCTTAATCTTCAATCTCTGCATTTGTAAAACGATGATAAATGATATTTGTCTGTGCTAAGGCTTGTTAGTGTCATAACATACAAGAAAGTGCCAGCCCACAGTGGCATTCAGTTGATTATTTTCTTCTTTCCCCACCTCTGCATTTGTCAGATACAGGCTTCTCTCAATATATTCTTGCCTTCCCAAACCATTTTAAAAAGTCTCCACATTGTGTAGAAAGTACTATATTGCCATTATATTTTCTCCTTTCACCCCTTCTATAGGAGATAGGAGTGAAGATGAGGGTGAGTGTGTGGAGCAAGAAGACTTGCGTTTGAAGAATATACACAAGCCTGTTCTGAGAGGTCCAGAAATTCACCAGACTGCAGATTGGGAAATAGTCTTAGAGGAAAATCCAGGTAGACCTGATGAAAGAAGATTTGGTACAAATATTTCTCAAGTTAATAGTTTCATTAATCTTCGGGAAACCATGCCTGTCAACTCAGTGTTAGGGAGGCATCATAACTGTCCTGTATGTGGGAAAAGCTTCACATGTAACTCCCACCTCATTAGACACCTGAGAACTCACACCGGAGAGAAACCCTATAAATGTATAGAGTGTGGAAAAAGTTACACACGGAGCTCACATCTTGCTAGGCACCAAAAGGTCCACAAGATAAACACTCCTTATAAATATCCCCTAAACCGGAAGAATGTGGAAGAGACCTCTCCTCTGATCCAGGCTGAGAGAACTCCACGTGTGGAGAAACCCTATAGATGTGATGTTTGTGGAAAACACTTCCGCTGGACTTCAGACCTGGTCAGGCATCAGAGGACACATACAGGAGAGAAACCCTTCTTTTGTACTATTTGTGGCAAAAGCTTCAGCCAGAAATCTGTACTAACAACACACCAAAGAATCCATGTTGGGGGCAAACCCTACTTGTGTGGAGAGTGTGGAGAGGACTTCAGTGACCATAGGCGGTATCTGGCACACCGGAAGACACATGCAGCTGAGGAGCTCTATGTTTGCAGTGAATGTGGGCGCAGCTTCAACCATAGTGCAGCGTTTGCCAAGCACCTGAGAGGGCACGCCTCAGTGAGGCCCTGCCGGTGCAATGAATGTGGAAAGAGCTTCACTAGGAGGGACCATCTTGTCAGGCATCAGAGAACACACACTGGGGAGAAGCCATTCACCTGCCCTACCTGTGGGAAAAGCTTCAGCAGAGGCTATCACTTAATCAGGCATCAGAGAACCCACTCAGCAAAGACTTAGCTAGCTGCCATGTGAGGAGATCTACATTCAGCCTCACCAAAATGGACAGGAGGGGCTCTGAGCAGGCTGGGAAGATCTTTTCTAAGACATCTCTCCCTCACCTGCCCAGACCTTACATCACCTCTTTGTACCAACAAATAAAAGCCCTGGGCAGAACCTCAGCCTTCTGCATCTTGAGGAAATGTTTTACCCAAAGTACAACCTGAATTGAGTCTTCTTCACTGGTGTGCCCCTCCTCTACCTCATGGGTGTGCAGTAGGAGGATTAGAAGACTTCAGAGGTTGTCCTTAACTGGTTGCCAAAATTTAGGCTGCTACAAATCCTCAAGACTCCTTACCAACCTCAAGGTTGAAATTGCCAAGGAGAATCCCTTCAGTCTGATAAGGGATCTACATGAACAGGTCTGTCTTTCCTGGGCTCAGATCTTAAAGCACACGGCCCTAAACTCAAAACAGGAGATTGGCATCTTGATAGCTTTGCCACACACTCACAGGATAACTAGAAATCCCTTACTGTCTTACTTCTTCACCATGCACTTTCCTTTGATGCTGGAAAGAAATGGGAGGAGTTTTAAAGGACAAAAATCTCAAAGCTGCTTCACATGGACTTCGGCAAGCTGCTCCCTTCCCCATTGTCAAAGTGATACTGGGTGCCAGACACTGCTAAAATGGAGGGTCTAGTCAGAAGCCTCTGTCCTTGTGTGTTAGTTTTTTTGTTTTGTTTTTTCCCCTGCCTAAATACTCATGCATTTAGCCTCCTTACTATTCAACCACTCTCCTGGGTTTTGTCCCTAGCACTTCGGCTACAAGTGAGATACAGCAGTTGAGTGCCAAGCGATTCAGTAAAGCATAATTAAATCATGATGAAGTCATTCACATTCCCATGTATGTACAAGCCCAACTTTCCCTTTCCACCACCCCCTGCCCCACATGGGTTGTGTGAGGAGATTTGGAGCAGTGTCACCTTTCAAAGGCACTATGAATTACAGAATCATTAACTGGACAAGATCTAAGATCAGACTATGGAAAAAAAGGAAAAAGCTGTTCCTGCTGGCTGAGACCATCAGGACTGTTGATACTGAGTTTCCATTGTCTGTCTCAGCTTTCTGGGAAACTGGGAAAAGTATGAACCCCAACACCTGGGACCCTGCAAAGTTACCAGGAATAAATGGCTTTCATGTATCTGTGGTGTTTGCTTTTCCTTATGTGAGTTCGGTTTTTAGTAAGAACTAAATAGTGGTATCTCATGGTGACCCAGGGGTCTTTTTTGCCTATTCAGAGTTCCATGAGGATGAGGCTGAGTGATTATAAACCTCACTGCTCTGATCATGGAAGTGGCAAGGACTGGAGAGACATCCCGCAGAGATTGAGTACAGGGTATGGCATTAAAGCATAAGAAGGGAGACAGTCTTCTGTGTCTGGTTTCTTCTGCTTATTTCACAATCCATTGTGTAGCTATGTACACCGGAGGGATACAGTGGGTTAACAAGGCTTCGACCTAATAGTCAAGGAAATTCTGTTTGGTCATTACTGATATAAGTGACTGATTGGGTCTTAGTACCAAGCAGCCATGGTCCTGGAAATATTCATGTATCAAATAGAGTAATATTGACAGCCAAGTTCTCTGGTTTCTGACACCTTCCATTTTGCCCACTCACTTTCCAGGGCTTCAGGGTTCTGATGCTTCTTAAGGTCATTCCTACTTATAAATAGATCTAGGGGTACAGAATAGTTTTTCAGGAAGATAAAGGCTTGGGATGGATAACAGCCACAGGTGGGACATGCACACCAAGATAAGAGCCAAACCTGGATTCTGTTTGCGCAAGATACTAATATATAGGTGTTCCTCAACCAAACATCTAAAGTCTAAGCATATTTGTCCTTGGAGAAGTATCACAGCCTCAAAAGATAGTGTCTTCTAGCTCACATTTAGCATTTATGGAGGTTGATGAAATCCTAGAGGTGACAATAAATCGGCTGCTGCTTCTCTGGTTTACATGATTGCGGTAAGTGAAAACCTGCCGAGAGACTTCTCCGTAAGGGAAAGTTTGAGACTGGACCAGTTTGTAGGAACATGAAGCAGTACTAGCTCTGATCCCCTTGTAGTTTCAGGTGCTGACACTGGGTCTCTGGTCTCTTGTAAAGTGCTGTTTTCGGGGGATCACGGAGGGATGTGCTGTCTCCCAGATTTGCACAAATAGAACCACAGTCACAGCATGGGGCAAGTGCTGAACCCTGGGGTAAGAAAAGACCATCAAGAGGGAGGCCAGAGAAGGATGCTCACTGGAAAAGGGAACCCTCAAATTTTGTGAACAGCAGAATCCTAATGTCATTGAATACCATGCTAAGCAAATATTTCTGAGGAAGAAAAAGGGTTTCAACATTATTAGGAAGAAGCTATAAAATATTAAATCCACAGAATGTTCAGATTATTGGAATGGATAAAAAGATGTACTAAAGGTGTGACTTTAAAAAAAATTTTTTTTGAGACTGTAGTCTTGCCTCAGCCTCCTAAGTACTGGGATTGCAGACAAGTATTGCCACACCTGGCTTGAAATTACAATTTCCAAGGGTCTTTGACAAGGTAAGTCAGGAAGAGCCAAGAATCACTCAACCTTTTCAACAGAAAGTACTGAGAGAAATGCCAAAAGATCAAGACAAAGTACATTTTTATTATCTCATACCCTGAAGTAGAATCTGGTGAATTCAGATCAGCTCTGGAAAATTGCATAAGTTGAAATAGCAGCAAAGTATTAGAAACAAAATCTAAAATACTTGTTGCCTCCTATGAAGCCCAACTCAAGTGATGGATCTTACACTTGAGCAACAATAGTGAACAAGAATATTCCCCAGTGTGACCTTCAAAATTGGCAGGACAGTTGTTCCAATTCTCTGGTTAAGGTGACAGAGGCTGTCACCTTAACCAGACATCCTGCTGTGTGATAAAATGAGATAATTTTTATTAAAGATTTTAAGGATCATTTTGTTTCATCAGGCTTCAGAAGGACAGCAATGGAAATAGTGTTAACCAGACCTCCCTGGTGGTTTTGTAGAACTAAAAGTAGATTGCAAAATAGTAACAGCATGCTGTACAAATTTGGTGCCCTTCCCCATGAATATTTATAATTTACCTCACCTTCAGAATCTCAGCTGACCTAATATTTATTCTAGTCACAGTAACTCAGAAGAATATACCTGCAACCATTTCCATCTCCTTATATTTCTACGAATCCACTAATCTACCTTATGGTAGCTGGGGGAAAGACTGAAAGAGCCAAAAAAAAAAAAAAAATGCCCATATGCCCACTAATCTTAATTATGGCAAAGGTAACCAATAAGATGTCTCCTTGGAAGTGGAATAACTTGATTCACCTTTAGGGAAGTCCAGAATGGCAAGCGATGTCAAGTTCTCTTTAGAAATCAAGCTTTGATCATTATCTTTAAAAACAAGAAGAGATAAACTGGTTGCCAAACCCACAAAGGTAAAAATATCCAATAGTGTGCAATTCCTGTTTTGAGTGTGTGCACTTGTGTGCAGGGGAATTTCAGGTAGAAGAAGGAATGCAATTTTGATCCTTAAAAAAAGAGTCAGCCACCCCATATTAGATTATTTGGTATCCTGTAAAGACAGGGATTCTTCAAAGGAGATTGGAACCTAAGGAATAAAATTGTATGCTTAGGTAAAGACTTCCAGAAGCTGTAGAGGTAGGTAGATGAAGCAAAAAGAAGATCCTACTCTTCAAAATGGTATGAAGAAAAATAACCAAATCTCCACAAAATGGAATATAAGACTTAGTAATGCTCTATGCAGGATATGAAAATGCTTCCAAATGTCACTTGCATAGGAAGGTAATCAAAACTAGAGATTCTCCAGATTTTCTGTAAGACCACTACTCTGGCTCCTTTGTCTGTGGTTCCTTTGTTAATTGTATATCTTATAACTTCTTAGAACTGCCTAATGGACTACTTGCCAGAGGCTATTTAAGAAAGCACCACAGCAGTAGACTGGTGTTTGGTTTCATTTACTGAACCAATGCAGCAGGGCTCCAGAGAAGCCATGGCAAGGCAAAAGAGCTGTGGGGCCTTTGGAATACACTCAAATGACAAGGCACTAACACTGAGCCAAGAAACATCACAAAAGCAGAAAGATGGGGCAGCAACCAAAAGGAATGATCTCTACTCCTGTTGCTGCCTCCAATAAAATATTATGAAACTCCTGGTACTGAAGTACAACCACATTTTCAGTAAACTTCTCAAATAGAGAATAAAAATGGCATTTTGGGATAAAATAATCAGAACTGTTTCAGCATTTATGAATTATTTAACTTAAAAGCTAAGATACCAGTTAATCCTTATTTAATCGAGGATTCTTGGTAGAATATCAAGGATAGTAACTGCAAGAAAGAAACAGAGTAAAAAATTGAATAATAGAGTGAAAATTGGAAATAATTTAAAATGAAACAAATAGAATGAAAGACTGCCCAAAGAATTCTAAAAAATAAGCATAAAAAATGAAACAAATCAAACTACAAAGATGGCAGAAAACCCAAATGTATGACTAAAGTAGTCTAGTAACTATCCATTAAAATAGAGATTGTTAGAGTAGGCAAAAAAATGGATTATAATTATAGACTATATATTCAAGAGATACACAAAAACATCAGAGACCTAAGCACAATGCATGTACAGGTATAATACCAAGGCAAAAATCCCACTGAACAAGGAACAGACACCTAAACAATGAAGGACAAGAATGAAAAACAGGTCATGCCAAGGGGAGGGCACTAACAGGAGGGGAATAGTAAAAGAAGTAAAGAAGGTGAGAGCGAATAAGGTTGAGGTACTTCCAGTACAAGAATGATTATAGAATATTTAAACCTGTTGAAATCACCATAAGAAGGGGGACAAAGATAGAAAGGAGAGAAGTGAAAAGCATGAACCAATTCAGGATATAATACATATAGACATAGAAATGTCATAACGAAACTCCCTGTGTAGCTATCTTAAACAAACAAAGTGTCTTTTTTTTTTTCAAAAACGAAGGACAGGAAGGTAAAACAGATCGTGTCTGTGTGTTGATCCCAGTGGGACAGGGGAGGACATAAGGAAAGGGTAAAAGAGAACAAATATTATGGAAAATTATGTACTAATATATGAAAATGGAACAATGTTGAAACTATTCTAAGAAGTGGTGGGGAGATAAAGGAGAATGATGGAGGGGGTGAATTTAACTAAGATGCAAGCACTCTTGCTACCATGTACCCCCAGTACAGCAATAATATGCTAATAAAAATTTTAACATAAATAAAAGTACAAAAAGAATATGCCAGGGAAATGCTGATCAAAAGAAAACTAAAGAAGTTATTTTAATATTGAACAGTAAAGTTTTATACAGAAGTTATGAGAAGTGAACCCTCTACATAAGGAAAAGTTTAATTCACCAGGAATATATAGAAAGTCTAAATTCTTATGTGCCTCAAACCGTAAACCTGAAAGTCATAGAACTACTCCCCACTATTTTAGTGAGTTATTTATAGGTCAAGCAGATAAGAACCAGGAAATATACTCATAAAACACCATTTAATAACTTATGGGCAATAAAAGTTCATGGCTCAGAATTATAGAATACATACTCTTCTCAAGCAGACTTAAAATATTTAAAACAATTGTTAATGTATAGTGCAACAAAGTCTTGAAATATCAAAGGGTGGGTATGATATTAATGATGTTTTCTCACATTTTAAAAATCAACAAAAATTAAAAGTTTAAAATGCCCTTACAAATAATTTCTGCATCAAAAAAGAGACTATAGTATGAGAATCAACTAAAGTTAGATGTTTTCTGTCAAAGAGGCTAATGTATGGTATAGTGCAGATGTCAGCTTAACGCCCCCAAATTGTTGCCTAAGTGCCTTGTAAGATGTTACTTAATCTTGTAATGTTTCTGTTTTGAACAACAGGCTGGGTTTTATTTTTTCTTAGCTGAACAAGTTTGTTATGGCCATGTGTCATAATCTTAAAAATTGCTTGCTTAAGGCAACTATTATTCAAGTAAATTTTTTTCTCTCTGCCCCAAGGTCCCTTGCCCACGTGTCCTCTTTTCAAATTAGCCAACTGCAAAGATTGTGAACCCAAAACTCATTTAATCAGGGTGAAGGGCAAACTTGA